TCTTTTACTTTTGAAAGAGAAGAGTGAACTGGGTGGGGGTGGAGGGGAGGCTGGGCAGGGAGAAAAGTGCAACAATGAATGAATGGAAATCCAAAGTCTCTGTACATTTTCATTTAAATTAATAATTTTAAAAATAGTTTTAAAAAAATTGAAAATGTTAATTTGATAACTTATAACACTAGAATAAAATCCCTAGAAGATACCTTGAAAATAAAAGTGTCAATGTACTACTCATCAAGCATATAGCAAACCAAATCAAATGCAATCAAGAAAATGTAAAAAGGAGACACACCTCCTTCTTCATCCGGTAATACTCATCAATGGCATACTGATATTTTGGGGTGCTGATGCCCAAAACAGATGCAATCTTCTCTCCAAGAAAGTCACACACTAAAGATACAAAAGTGAGAAGACTTACATAATTCCATAAACATTTCTTGAGTACTTTCTTTTGCAAGGCAGTGTAGGAATACAAATTACTATTCCTGTTCTTAAGGTTATTATGAAGACCAAGCCCATTTATCTTTTGTACATCTCTCATTATTTCCCCAAGAAGCAGAAATGGTTCCCTCTGAGATGCCAGTAATACGTTGTGTTTACAGCTCATGATAACACTTATCACTGGATATTATAATTATCTGTTATTATATATTTATTCAAGGGGAAATACATTTAAAGTAATGAGCTGGGCACAAAGAGACAAATAGCTTGTACTATTCCATTAATTGAGTGCCTACCATGTGCATGGCACTTGAAAAGAAGTCAGGCTCACAGAAGTTAAGGAGCTGACAGTGCTCCTTAAGTGTTACAAGCTGAAAAGGTAGATCTAAATTTCCAATCCAGGTCTGAATCTAAAGTTTATATTTCTTCCTTTACATCAAGTTGTCTAACACATACTCAATGGTGAGTAAAAAAAACCCAGTTAATTCTAACACAAAGCAGAAAGACATAACTTTAGGATTTAAAAACTTAACTTTATGATTTAAAATCTTCAAAGTTCATGTGATTGAGTTATAAGTTGATAAAGCATTTCCTTCAAATATTAGTTATATCTCAATTTAAGACATAGAAAATACATCAACATATGAATGAATTACAACTATAGGTTAAGAACAACCAGTCAGAATGAGAGAAGTATTAACAGAGACAAAATGGCAAAACAGTTGCCAACAGAAAGGGTTCAAGAGCATGAAAATCTGATTTAACATGATAGTAATTTTATGTTATTTTCTGAAAAATATAACCTAGATATAAAGATGTTTAAGTTAGATTAATATAGTGTATCTTCTACTACTAGCCATCTGCTGAAGATAAGCAATTTAACTTCTTGTTTCACCTTTATTTTGGAATCCCATAATTTGGCAAAGCTCCTTTTGGTGGAGCATATCACATCATATACAACATTCAAACAGAAAATCAATACCTGAGAGAGTGGATGTGGCAGCCCGAAGCATGTAAAACCATAAATAGGGGCCCCAGGTAAGTTTTGTCTGCAACAAGAAGTCAAGTTAGCAACATTTATACTTAAACTCATTTTATATATTTCAGAGCAGAAAAAAAGAACTAAAATAAAAAGTAGGATGCATATGTTCTATGTATACTACAGGCAATACAACCTACAACCCAATGAAAAATGTAAAACCTTCATAGACTTCCACAAAGACATCCTGCATTCATTCTACAACTACAACCACCTTAAAAGTTCAAGGAAAGAACCAAAGATGCAACCACCAAAGAAAATGGCCAATCATAGGATTAATTAATTATTCATGCATTGATAAGCCCTTTTTAAAACTTTTTCCTGTGATTTAGATGAAAGATTAGTTTTCCATTTAACAATTCACACGTTTCAAGTCTTTGATTACAATCCCCACATTTTAACAGCACTTTATCCACATCCTGTCTTATTTCTTCCTGCTCTCTGAACTTTGTCTTTAGGCAAATACTGCCTTCTAATCTCATATGGTTGGTTGTTCTTAGGAAGTCATACCTTCCTGGTTTCACGGTTCACCTTACAGGCCTGACATTGTTTGGCTGCAAATTGAGTCAGGGAGTTTGGGGACACGGTGCTGTCTATTTCAGACTTTAAGGATGACTAAGCTATAGTTTTAGGGATTCCACTAACCTTTATAAAACCAGTAAGTCTGGTCTTTTTTTTATCATTTTGAGTTTTGTTACCCTTTATCCAGGCCCTTCTACTGTGATCTCTTTCAGATCGGTTGATAGTAACAGCTAGACACCATCTAATTATTCTGATTTCTGGGTTGTGGAAGCTGGGTCTATTACACCTCTAAATTGTTTCTATGTTTTACTCTTCTGTACTCCAGAGAAAGACTAATAATTACATCTTAGGTGGCCACTAGCTGATAAACCATTTTTATGAGTTAAACCCATACAATCACAAAACCCATAAGACACTTTCTCCTATCTTGCTGTGTTGTGGGGTTTTTTTTGGTTGTTTTCACTGTTCATAAATACAATACCAGGGAGGATGTGCTATCTATACAAAGAACCTTAAGAGTCCAATGTTCTTATTATGTTGTAGTGGGGAAGTAAGCATGTTAAGGTTTAGAAAAACAAAGCAGCATAACTACAGGTTTATCAATCAAGCTTTTAACAGTGGGGGAAAAAACAAGCTATGAATAAGTATAAGATGAATTTTTTATGTCTTTAGAATTAAAAAGGACTAGACAATGCAACAGAAGACAAGCTCAATAACTGCTAGGCTGAAACCAATGGCAGAATGCAATCATAATTAGTCCTGTTTCTGTAACTCCATAGAGCCCCAGACAGAACAGACTTAATGGTAAGTTTAAGTGTAAGGTTGCTGACTAAAAGTTCAGCAGTTCAAATCTCCTAGCCACTCTACAAGAGAAAGATGATTTCTCTTTTATCCTTGTTATAGCCTTAGACACCTTATGAGTCTCTTCTACCCTGTCCTATAGGGTTGCTAAGAGTCAGAGCTGACTTAACAGTCGTAGGGTTCTATAAAATCTACAGAGGACTTCTATGAAGCTCACCAAATAGTTTGTCTGCTTAAATTAAACTGGTGATAGAACATGTTTCAAAAAGCAAGCATACTATCGAGTCTCCAATAAAATATATTAATATATTTTTACATTAATAAATTTTGGTTTCAATAAGAGATAAATATATCTGTAATAATTACTTTGATAATATACACACACAATGGATATCTGTAAGATTGAGTAGCAAATACCAAGACATCTGTACAAAGGGCTAAAGCTGAAAGAAGAAAACAACATATAGGCAAGTTCTGCCATGAAAAGCAGGTAGGTTTATTTCTGTGGAGGTAATAAAAGGCAACGATGTGACTATGGGCACTAAGATGCACCTACCCTAAGCTGTAATATTTTTCAACTGCTTCATATGCATACAAAAAGTAGAGAATGAATGAAGAAGATCAAATAAGAATTGATACCTTTGAATTATGATGCTAATATTAATATACCATGGACTGCTAGAAGCATGAACAAATCTGTCTTTGAGGAAGCACAACCACAATGTTCCTTCGAAGGGAGGATGGCAAGACTTCATTACACGTGCTTTGGACATGTTATCAGGAAGGTGCTTGGAGAAGGACATCATGCTTAGTTGAATGATAGCAGCAAAGAGAAGACTCTCAACAAGACAGAACGATGTCATGGCTGCAACAATGGGCTCAAGCAGAGCAGTGACGGGGGCAGCGAGTCAAGTTATTGGGCAGCACCTAATTAGAATAGGTCTGAAAAGACCTAGATTTAAGGTAGGTTCTGCACCTCTATTTACTCAAGAGCGAACATTCAAGCAAACAAATAGATTCAACCAAAAAAAGAATGTGTATTTCAGATTCACTTGATCAAATCTGTTGTAGCGCCTACATTCTGAGCTTAAGTGGTCTTTTATGTCAGGATAAAGACTAAAGATTTTGAGATGTTCTAGCATTAGTGTTTATTTTATGGTTTTTCGCAAACAAGACAGCTTCAAAAGTATGGGAATTGAAACCAGTTTCTATAACATGTAATAAAAGAAAGGGCCAAGGTACTGCTTAGTAAACAGAAATGTCTTAAAGGAAAGAATATATTTCTCAGTGGACCAGTTCTCCTGGGATTGTATCTAGAGAGAATAATTGTTAATGTCCAAGCTGTGACTACAAGAGCAGAGGCAAACCTGCTCCACAGCTGAGGAATTATTCAAGGAATTTGCAATAACTTCAATCATTATCCACACAGTTATACAGAATTAATGTAAAGAGCCCTCAATTAGAACAGTGACCTTCTTGATCAAAAGAATAACAGCAAGAGTCTGTACAAGAACCTTGCCACCACTGCCAGCCATCACCATGACACCATCAACTTAGCAACAGACAGACCTGCGACAAGGTCTGGAAGCCTCAAGACTTTCCATTTATGGTGCTGAAATGCAAATGGATTTATTCTTCTCTCAAAAATGTAAATATAAGTTCCTCCCTCCCCATTAAGATATATTCTCTTCTTGCTTTTAAATAACTTATTTTCAAGTTATAAAAGTTATGTTTGCTTATTATAATAAATGAGAAATAATAATACGGTAAAGTATAAAATGAATTTAAATAATCCATTTTTCTATCAGCAAGATATAAACATTTTAGCCTCTTCTTCTAGACTCTTTGTAATAATATTTATTTGGAAACTATATTAGTGAAACTGGCTCAGGACAGGGCAGGCTACAGAGATGTTGTTCATAGGGTCGCTATGAGTTGCAGGTGACTAGCGGCACATAAAAACAACATACATACATCTGAAAATCAATGTTAAGAGAATTACAAGAAATTAAATTCTTAAGGTATAACAAGGCAAAAATATCTAAGTGAATAATTACTATGGAAGTGTAAAAAAGACCTAGGTCTCACTGCACTGCTAACAGGCTGGTGGTTCAAACCCACCAGCTGCGCTGCAGCAGAAAGATGGACAAGCTCCTCCTATAAAGACTTAAGAGCCTCAGAAAACCAATGGAGGGTCACCACAAGTCAGAATCCACTTAATAGCAGTAGATATTTTAGGGTTTATCAAGAATCATATACTAGGTTGCTGCTTGGAGGCAAGAATTCTGAGGCTTCATCTGACATAGCTTGGGCATGTTGCAAGGAGGGACCAGTCCTTAGAGAGGGAAATCATGCTTGGAAGGGTGGAAAAAAAGAGAAAGAGAGGAAGACAATCAATGAGATGGATGGATTCAGTGACTGGGGTAATGAGGGTAGGTGTGTCAGAGACAGTAAGGTTGGCACAGGATAGAGCAGGTTTCAGGGCTAATGGACATGGGGTCGCTATGAGTCGCAATCGACTCGATAGCACATAACAATAACAGCATACTAGTTGTTGTTTTTGTTGTTGTGTATCGGCAAGTTGGAACTGACCCATAGCTGACTCTCGAGGCAGTTTAATCACATGGGAAGAGACTGCCCATCTTTCTCCTGCAGAGCAGCTGATACAGAGCTCCCTGAATAGTAGTGTTATTCTTAAATCTTTATTCTAAGTATCACCTGGGGGTTTTGTGTATGTGTTTGATGTGTTAATTTGGGTCTGTTTTATGTATCTACAATGTAACTAATATCTTTTCAAAATGTTTTTATCCTATCAGATATGTAATACATTAATGAAGTAAATAAAAATGGAAAATCTCTTCACAATAATCTGGCTCAATTACTCCAATGGACAAGTACTGCCAGTCAAAGTTCTGGCAGATGATAAAGATGACACACTCGAAACTGGCCTTTATGAGAAAAGTTAAATAAAAGGACAATTTACAAAGATGTAGAGTTTACAAAGCTAACAAAGAACAGAACAATATCCCTGGTTAGTAATCTCACAAGGGGTGAGAAGAAAAAGCCAATTACCGGGAATCCAGAAAGAGCAGCGTAATAGAAGTTTCCCAGTAAGCCCTGTAGCCCTTAGCAAGCAAAGCAGTTACCTCTGCTGAAATCATATCAAATTATATACTGTTGTTGTTGCTGTTAGGTGCTGCTACCACTCACAACCCTGTGTACATTAATGATTAAAATTTTCCTCAGAAAAACCCTAAATTTAGGGTGAAAAAATTGCTCGTAGGTAATTAAAATGGAGAGTTCTATTTGCTGGTTAGGGAGCTCTGGTGGCTTAGTGGTAAGAAGCTGTGCTGCAATCCCAAAGGCACAAGGTTCGAATTATCCAGCTGCTCTATGGGAAAATGATGAATATCTCCTCCCATGTGATTTACTGCCTCTGGAAACTGGCTGGAGAGCCAGCTAGAGTCAGCTATGTTGTTATGTTGTGACATAATAAAAATTTGTTAATTACAAATAATACTATGTTGAGACATTTTTATTTACAATTCCAATAAAATAGCACTTTTATCAGCTTTAGGCTGAGCTTACAACAGAAAGTTGGCAATAAAGCAACATCTATTTTCTTAAAAATAGCACTATACTCATAGGGATATTAACTAACATCAAAGATAACTAATTTTAAAGCTATAGAATGAATGTTGAGATTTGATCCATCACTCAAATTAATGTCAAACTACAAAATGATATTGCGTAAGAACTATAGGGAAAATTAAGGCATTTATAATAGTTTTTAAAATTCTAGTGGAACCTGAGGTATGATTTCTTGTAGCACTAAACTAGTACCAACTTACATGTATATAGATCTTAAGTCATTTTTCAGTTAAGTTTTTATCCTTATTACCTCATGCAATCTTTAAAAGCAACTCTGAATGTAAATGTTACTTCTCTTTTCTTTTTAATCATGGAATCTGAAGAGAGTTAAGTCTTTGACTTAAGATACAGCCAAAATGGAAAGCAAGCTTCAGACTTCCCAGGCTGAAGGAAATAAATATAAGCATCTTTCTTACCACGAGTCAAGGGCCTAAAAGTTGATGGAAATCCTTATGCTGCTACAAGGTCTTTTCAAGGGTACATTTTCAGGAACCTAATACATATCCTTCATGTGGCCATGCCTTTATCACTAATTCCTATGTAAGTATAGAGGAACTTCTCAGACAGCAACTTCTAAAAAGATACACAAGAACTCCTTCAAAAGAATTTTTAAGAAGAAAACAAAATTTATCCCAACAATTCTCCCACTGAATGAAACATTTCTGTATTACTCCACATGCATTTGGGATTGCTTTCAGATTATATAATGTACAACAATCTTTTGAATACTTTCCGTAGTAGAGAATTTGGATCTAACTGGAAAGTAAAAATAAATTTAGAACCAATTATGATGAATAATGGGGAGTAGTACTTGTTTACAAATCAAATAAAAATACTTCTCTGTCTTGTTATGCTTTATTTTTCTTGATTGAACTTTTCACATCTTCATTTCGTATATATTTATTTGTTTGCTGCCTATCTGGCTCACGAGCATATAAGAATGCAAGTTTATTTTGTCCACTGTTGATAGAACGGTGACACAGTCTCAATGATAAAAGGGACCTATAACAGTACTTACTAGAAGGCCAGTAAGAATTTTATTAACTACACTCTCAAAATTTCTATTTGGAAGGAAACACTCCTTTTCTAAGTATACAACTTTCCTTTTACCCTCTATGATTTAAGTAAAAATTTACAAATTGGTTTTCCATTCATCCATTCACAAACATTTTATTTTATAACATTAATTACAATACCTACAGAGTAATCATCCTCGTCCAACTTCCTCCCTGTAATTCTCATTTCTTTTAGTTCTTTTAGCCTACCCCTTCCTGCCTTCTGAAGTTTTCTCTTTGGGCAAATTCAGCACTTCTGATGTGGTGGTACAAAAAAGCTTTATCCTCACAACTTTCATAATCTCAGTATTTTCAAACTTAGCTAGTTAGGTACACAAATTTAAGTACTGTGGCCTCCTATCTTCTAAGAGAAAGCTGAAACAATGTAAAAAAAATAATAATAGTTAAGCTTTGGCAGCAAGGTCTTTAATTCAGTCTGTGATTCAAGCGTTTTTAAGGAAAACTTCACAAACTAATAAAGGATTTTGACATTCAAAATAATTTCAGGCTAAAAGAAATATTTGCATTCAAATTATTTATTTTCTACTAAGATAATAAATGTAATTTTATAATTAGAATGTAGTTTATAAGGGGAAGCAAATTAATCTGAAGGAAACCTTAGAAAAAACAATCATCAGTATTTTAACATACCGGATCAACAGTAGGCAATACATCTTTCTTCTCTAGACCATCAACTTCATCTTCATCTGTGCTATATTCTTCCATTGTTTCACCACTTACAAAATGGATGACTCTTCTTGGGACTTTCTTCTTTTTTCCTACAATTCCCAGCTCTACATTTTCAAAGCCTCTCTCACTACTCACCTAAATAAATAAGTAAGAAAGAAAATAGTTCCAAATGGCATTCATTTTCTTTCAAATAACAAAAAAATTTGACTATTTTATTTAGAGAACAAAGAATTATGAGTACTTAAATATTTTTTAAAAATAGATCATACATTCAAAAGATACATAAAGGATATATTTAGAGTATAGTAAATAATATAGTGAACATCTATTCAACAAACACTCAAGAAAAAGAACTTAAATTTTTGTTTGAGTCAACAGCTAAGAAATCGAACATTATACTTCAAGTCATATCAATCCCACAGTGGTGTAATAGTGAAGATATGTAGAACACTCATAATTTTTTAAAATAATGACAATTCATTAACATGTAATAGGACAGGAAAGCATAAACCTGTACAAATTTGTTGTGGTGGTGGTTATCAGGCACCATGGAACTGACTATAACCCAAATAGATCTGCATAGTGTCCTACCCTGCATCCTCTTCAGTCTCCACCATGCTCAAGCCCATTGTGGTCAATGTAATAATTAAAAACTTTGAGGTTCTTCCTCTCTTTTGCTGAAACTCTAACCTTACCAGCATGATGTCTTTTTCCAAGGACCAGCCCTCCTCCTGACAACATATCCAAAGTATGTGAGATGAAGTTTCACCATCCCTGCCTCTATGAAGCATCCTGATCACACTTCTTTTAAGACAGATTTGTTTGTTCTTTAGGTAGTCCACTTTAAAGGCATTGATTTTTCTCTGGTCTTGTTGTTTTTGTTATGTGCCATCAAGTCGCTTGCGACTCATAGCGACCCTATGTACAAGAGACCTAAACACCATTCTATCCTGTGCCAACCCCGCCATCTCAAACACACTCATTCCCACCACTCCACTCACAGAATAGATCCGTCTCATCGAGGGTCTTCCTCTCCTGTGCCGTCCCTCAATGCTCCCAAACAAGATGTACCTCTCCAAGGACCAGTCCCTCCTTGCAACATGTCCAAAGTATGTCAGACGAAGCTTTAGAATCCTTGACTCCAAGGAGCATTCTGGCTTCAACCTCTCCAGGACAATCCTGTTTGTTCTCCTAGCAGTCCATGGTATATTCAACACTCTTCTCCAGCACCACAACTCAAAGGCATCAATTTTCTTTCTATCATCCTTATTCACTGTCGAACTCTCCAATGCATAGCTTATTCCAGAGAACTTTCCAACATCATTTGTTTTGTTTTGTTTGGTTTGGTTTTCCTCTCTCCAACATCTTTGGATCTGAGCTTAACTACATCCAGGCAAATAAAAATTCTGATAGTTTAGTAATAAGGAACTGTCTGACAATGCAAAGGTACACAGTTTGAATCCACCAGCTCCTGCTATGGGTAAAGATACACAATCTCCTCCATGTGATTTACAGTCTCTAAACATCCTACTGGAAATTCAGCCACAGGTCAGTTCTGACTCAATGGAACACAACATCTGGGCATATTTTAGCTTAACTTGAACCCTTTTTCAAAACAAACTCAGTCTACCACCAGGTTAGAAATGATTCATAGTTGGCTCTCCAGTGAGCTTCCAGATACCGTAAATCACACAGAGAAAACTGCCCATCTTTCTCCTACAGAACAGCTGTGGATTTGAAATGCCTTCCTTTGGGTCAGCAGTACAACTCCTTACCCACTAGGACACTTGTTGTTGTTGTTGTTGTTGTTGTTGTTGCTGAATGCCATTGAGTCAAGCACGACTCAGCGACTCTATGAATAAAAGGCCTGAGGCCTTTCTATAACTATCATCATTTATCAAAGGTCATAGAGTTTCCAGAGGCATGTTCTTTGGGCAATGGACGCTTCCAAAGTAGGCCACTAGAGCTCCCAAATTAAAATCAAGACAAGAGAATGTCAAATTAAAGTACTTTTAATGTCAAACAGGTACCAAAAATTAAAAACAACATAGAGAGAATGGTTGACTTTGTATAGAATGCATGTCCCAACTAAAAATATTTAAATTGAAAAATGTAGAACTTTGGTGCAAGTCATAAAACTGACTTATATGGAAAATCTGCAAAGCAGGTCATTAATGTGTTATTTCTAATGAACTACCAAATCTCTTCACAAATAATAATGGAGGTGACAGTTGTATTCTTTACAGTATAAATATTCTACTAATTTAAAATAATAGTAGTCTATAGAGTTTTTCCTTCAGCTTAAGAAATGCTGAGAGAGTCCGGCCCTTTTGATTTTCTGACTCCAGCTCTCTGCACATTTCATAATAGTGTCTTGCTTTGTCATCCCAAGCTAACTTTTGAAATTTTCTATTCAGCTCTTTGATTTCTTGATTTCTTCCTTTAGCTTTGGCTTCTCGGCGCTCTCATGCAACATTCAAAGTCTCATCTGACATCCATCTTGGTCTTTTCTTCTTCTTCAGCCTTTGTAATGATCTTTTGCATTCTTCATGGACGATTTTCTTGATATCCTCCCAGAGCTCATTTGGTCTACGCTCATTGGTGCTCAAGGCCTCAAACCTGTTCCTGAGATGGTTTTGAAATTCGAGCAGGACAGACTTAAGGTCAAATCCTGGTTCCCGTGGACTTGACTTAATTTTCCTCAACTTCAGCTTGAATTTGCATATGAGTAGTTGGTAGTCTGTCCCACAATCAGCACCCGGTCTGGTTTTCACTGCTGATATTGAGCTTCTCCAGCAAATCTTTCCACAAATGTAATCTGTTTGATTCCTCTGCATGCCATCAGGTGAGATCCATGTATATAGCCTCTGTTTATATTTCTTATAAAAGGTATTTGCAATGAATAAATCATTGAATGTGCAGAACTCTATCATTCTCTCTCCAGCCTCATTTCTCTCACTGAGCCCATGTTTTCCAGCTACTGATCCTTCTTCCCTGTTCCCAACTTTTGCATTCCAGTCGCCCATTATTATTAATGCATCTTGATTGCATGTTTGATCAATTTCTGACTGGAAAAGTTGGTAAAATTCTTCTATTTCCTCTTCTTTGGCTCTAGTTGTATATTTGAATGATAGTGGTATTCACTGGACGTCCTTGTATGTATATGGATGTTATCCTGTTGCTCACCACACTATTTCAGGATAGATCTAAAAATGATTTCTTAAATTATGAAACGAACCCCATTTTTTCTCACCTTTTCATCCCCAGCATAGTAAATCTGATTCAAAATGTCCCATGCCAAGCCATCTCATTTCGCCAATAACTAGTATGTCAATATTTATGTGTTCCATTTCTTTCTTAACAATGTCCAATTTTCCTACTTTCATGCTTCTCCCATTCCACGTTCCAATCACTAGTGTCTCCTTAACAGCTGTTTCTCCGTGTTTCCATTTCTAAGATCTCAGCTTCTACTGCCATGTCTGTTAATCCAAATGCCAATCTAAGTGTGCTCCATTGTACATCGGGTTTTCGAAGGCCTGTAATTTCAGAAGTGGATGGCCAATCCTTCTTCTTAGTCTGTCTCATATAGTTTGGGTAGAATGTTGAATGATCCAGGAAGTATAAAAAGAAGATGGAAAGACTACACAAAGTCACTGTATCAGAAAGAATTGGCTGACACAGAGGAAGTTCGTGAAATAACATGAGCAAGAACCTATGGTGATGAAGGAGGAAGTTCAAGTTGCTATGAAGGAATTGGAAAAAAACAAGGCTACAGGAGTTGACAGCATACCAATCAATTTATTTCAACAAACAGACGCTGCCCTGGATGTGCTTACTCAGTTATGCCAGGAAATCTGCAGGACAGCCAGTTGGCCAATTGACTGGAAGAGATCGATATTTATTCCCATTCCAAAGAAAGG